CTCGTCTGCCGTCGCCGGGGGCTGACCTGCTGGTGGCGCTGCTAGTGGGTTTTGGGTTCTCGGGCCAAACAGGTCTCGTGGGGTAGGGTTCCGGTCGGCCGGGAATGTCGCTGCTTCCCACGCGGTGAGGAGGTCGACCGCCGCCCTCGCGCCTGTGGCTTGCGCTCTTCCCGGGGTATCTAGACGCTGTCGCCTGGCGGCTGGTGAACGTGCTGTCGGCGATCCCAACAGCTGGACGGAAGGCATGCGCAGGGGTGACCCCCCCCCTAGGCCGCGAGGCACTCTCGGGGGTTCCGCTTGGCGGGAATTTCCCGAATCTGGTCCCTGGGTGGCTGCTTGTTGGTCCGGCGGTAGGTTCGCGTGTGCGGTTGCGGGGGCCTCTGCCCACCCCATCACGTGTCGCTCGCGGCCTTCCAATGCGGTGTCCCTGCCTTCACGTCCTCCTGCCCTTCTTTCGGGTGAATGACTTGACGGACCGCCTTCACGCGATTGCAGATCTCCGTTCTCCGCCTGTTCGCGCTGTGCCGCGGTTGTTTGCGTCAGTTGCGCTGCGGGAGGTGTCGTCTTGGTCGTCGGGGGTTGGAGTTGTGTTGCGTGCTTGGAAGTCTCCTGTAGGGACGGAAAGATGGTGGAGGCCACGCGGGTTTGGTCTAGCTCGCCGTCTTGCCTCGCTATCAATAATATCTTGTGTGCCGAGTCTGGATCGCCGGATATTTTGGCGCAATTCGTGTAAGGATTACGCCGCACATTGTCGGGTGTGCCTCCGACTCGCTATGATGAGGCCTCTGGCTCGCTGGGGTGTCGGCTTCCGGGTCACTAGCATGGTCAGCGCCTGGCTCGCTGGCGGGGTGATGCTGCCAACTTGCTAAAGGGGGAAATTTGCCCCAAGCTCTCTAGGAGGATCAGCCTCCAATTCGCTAGGGGATCAGCCCCAAATCGCTAGGAGGATGAGCCTCCGATTCGCTAGGGGATCAGCCCCAAATCGCTAGGAGGATGAGCCTCCGATTCGCTAGGGGATCAGCCCCAAATCGCTAGGAGGATCAGCCTCCGATTCGCTAGAGGGTCAGCCCCAAATCGCTAGGAGGATCGGCCTCCGAATCGCTAGGGGAGGATCAGCCTCCAGTTCGCTGGGGGGGTGTCCGCCCTAATTTGCCAGGTGATCAGCCACAAATCGCTAGGAGGGTCCGCCTCTCAACCTAAGGGAATCAGCCCCACTCGCTAGGGGAAATCTGCTTCTAACCCGTTAATGGAATCAGCCCTTGCTCGCTAGGAGGGTCAGCCTCCAATTCGCTAGGGAATCAGCCCCAACTCGCTTGGAGTGTCGACTTCTAACGCTCTAGGTGAATCCGCCGCCCGTCGCTAAGGGAGGGGTGGTCTCAAACGCTAGGTGGGGTCAGCTCCCGAAGGGAACGCGAAGAGGGTCGACCTTCGTCACGCATAAGAGAACCGCCATAGGTTACTCCCCAATCGCTAAGGTGGTCAACTTAAGCGTGACTGCGTGTCTCGGTTTCGCGTCGCTGAGAGAAATATCGGCCACCGCGTCGCTAGGGTTGGGTGTCGTGGAGGTTTCGGTCTCTGCCTCTACGCGCGACAAATAATGTCTAAATCCGTCGGGCAAAGCGCGTTTATCTCGCTGCCGGAGTACTTCCTCGCCAAACGGAAAACGCAATCCTTCTCGTGTTGCCGAGTTCACGTTGCGTCGCGTTTTTGGGGTCTGAGTGCGCGGGTGCGCGCTGCCGCGATCTTACCCCGTG